GGCTCATTCCCGAATAAGCAAAGCCATTATCACGAAGTGGCCTCGTGTCATCCAGGGACACAAAATTTTCCAGTAAGACCAATGTATCAGATACACTAGGGGGAAAGTGGGATAGAATGTGAGGTGTTGGGACGGGATAGACATACTAAGCCTTGGCATTTAGACTGAGCAGATAGCCATCAAGAAAGAATATTTCTGGGGCACCTGGGCGGCGGAGTCGGTGGAGCGTCCGACTTCGGCTCAGGTCACGATCTCGCAGTCTGTGGGTTCGAGCCCCGCATCGGGCTCTGGGCTGACGGCTCGGAGCCCGGAGCCTGCTTCGGATTCTGTGTCTCCCTCTCTCTCTGCCCCGCCCCCACTCACGCTCTGTATCTCTCTCTCAAAAATAGATAAAACTTTACAAAAATAAAAATAAGAAAAGAATATTTGTACGTTAGAAGCCAATCTATGCCTTACAAAGATATCTCTGATGACTTTGCTGTGAATTCTAGAACCCCCTGCGCTTGCCATAATGCCAACCGAGATCACGCTTACTCCTTTTCAGCCATGTTACGTAGTTCACTCTCAACCAACACTCCTTTTCACATATGGCGTTGTCGGCCTATGTCTTCCCAGCCGGAAGCAGTTGAACCTGTGCTTGGGACCTCACATTTACCCAACGTATTGATTCTGTTAAAATCAGACCCCGCACCCTCTCATTTGCACCCTTCGGGATATTGATTTTTATCTCCATCATGCTTACTAGGCTGCCAGCTTCAAGTTGTACATTAATTTAATAAACCTCTTTCCAAATGTTCATGCAAATCACAGATTAAAAGGAAAAAAAATCATAAGGCAAGGGCAAAGCTCCAAAGCATGTCACTAGACACTTTCCACCGGATTAACATTTACTTTTAAATCAGTCCCTTTAAAAATAAAAGCTCTTTAATCAGTAGCTGCTCCACTCACGTGTCCTTTCTCTTGCCAGACGCGGTGCTGTCAGCATTCTGGATGAAGTTAATCGCGTAGAACTTGCTCGTGGTGAGCCCACGCTGGCTGTTAGGTCTGTGGTTTCCTCTTCTAGGTGCTCACACGCCAGCCCTTTGATCTTCCACCAGGCTTTCTGGAAGCTTCTTCAGTTGCAGACCCCATCTTCTTTCTTGGTTGGAAATCTGAACTCCATTTGTTGGTCTCCAGTTTTCCAAACCACTTAGGTTTTCCGTGGTTCACAAAGACCACCCATAGCAGTTTGGGTGATCTGATCTGACGAGTTTCTTTTAGTAACATGCGCTATAATTTCCCGGCCTGGAATGCCACAAGTGTCCGTTTCGTCATCTAGAAAATGGCGACTGTAACAGCATTATCCCATACGGTGGTTTGCTAATTAAATGGCATCATGCACTTAAAGGGCCGCTGTCTAGCACGTAGGAAACATTCCCCCCAAATTTGTAACAAGCCACCACATCGTTTCCTCCTGACAGCACCTCCAGTTTGACTGGCCTAAAAACCCACCTCTTCCAGAAGCTGCATTTGCTCCTAAATTTCCTAAATCTTTACACGATGTCACTATTCTCGCAGTCACTGAAGCCTGACACTCAAAAGCGTCTTTGATCACCACTTGCCTTCTCGCCCACATCCATCGATGTGAAGTCTGGTAGGTTTCATCCCTGCAATGCTACAGACACCAACCCCTTACTTCCATCCCATGGTCACTGTAACGGGTCGAATGGCCGTTTCGCCTCAAAGCACATGCATCGAAGCCCTTAATGCCCAGTGTGACTTATACGGAGACAGGTCCTGTGAGATGATAAAGGAATGATGAGGTCATAACGGTGGGGCCCCAATCCAACAGGGCTGTTGTTTGTGTAAGAAGAGGAAGAGACCCCAGAGACCTCTCTCTCTCCACCACGTCAAGGCACAGTGAGAAAACAGTCATCTACAAGGCAGAAGGGTCTTCACTGACAATCAAAGTGGCTAACACCCTTGGCCAGTCTGAGACTTGTCAGCCTCCAGAACGGGGAGAACTAAACTTTTGGTGTTCAAGCCACTCTGGCTGTGGTTTTGTTTTAGCATCCCAGGCAGACTAAGGCAGCTGGCATCTTCAGGTCTTCTCTACTCCTTACCTGCTTTGCACCAACAGCCTCCTGACTCTTGCCCCCACTCCCCCCTTTCCCCACTCCATCCAAGTACCGACCAGGCCCGACCCTGCTTAGCTTCTGAGATCAGGCGAGATCGGGCACGTTGAAGGTGGTATGGCCGTAGACTACCTTTCTCTACTCCAATTCACCTCTCCCACTACTCCCAGCCTCCCAATACTTCCTGACTTCTGCCCCTACATCACCAGAAACTTCCCATTGTTTGCCAAACTGAGCATAAATTCACCAGCACTTTCGAGGTATCCCAGGTAAGCTTCACATATAAGCCCTCTTTATGATCCCAATCTAACCCTGGAAACTCCTGTTCCTCATTCCTGATATGCCCTCTGCTCTAGCCAAACAAAACTTCTCATAGTCCCTAAGAACATCGTCAATCATTTGCATTTTTTGACTGATCTCTGCACCCAAACAGAAAGACTGGCTGACTTAATAGTGACATAAACAAGTAAGAGTTTATTATTTTCATATAGTAAGTCCAGAGATGGGAAGTTACTTCTCTTGGTTTTGTGGCTCAATAATGTCACCAGAGATCAGCAATTTTTTTTCTTTCCTCAAGATGCAACTATGGCTGCCACGGCTCCGGACACCAAATCTGTGTTCAATGCATGAATACAAGTGAAGGAGAAGAGAAGAAACAAGGCAATCAAGCCAGTCCCGTTCAGTAGAAAAAGTCAAAACATTCCCAGAGTCCCCGTAGATTCCCATATCAACTCATTGGCCAGGGTACTATCACATGGTTACCCTTCCTTGCAAGAGAGCCTGGAAAAGTGAATATTTCATCTGAGCAAGGTATGCATGACAATACCCACAACAATATTGGGACGCCGTTAGCAAAAAGTTAGAAGGCAGTCGATAACCGAGTGGGCGACTAGTCTAGCCACAGTACCTGGCACTCGTGCGAGGTGGGAGAATTTTTGTCTTTATTTCTCTTCACACACCTACCAAACTCTCCTGTACATACTTTGTGTTCAGTAGGCTGATTGTGTTACCAGTTTATGGTCGCCTACAAATGGTTCTACATTCATTAAGTACCCGCTGGTCTCTGTTAGGTATACTGGGAAAAAACAAGAGTAAAAGAAATTATATTTGTCCTCAAGTCAGACAAAGTGCCTACTGCTGAATGACTTCCCCAAAACACAGTCGTTTTGGGGGTCCATTTCACACCCTCGGCACCAACACTGACCTCTGCTCGGCGACACCTTTCTTCGTGGGAGAGTATACATAATAACCCTCGACCGGAGCTTGGCCGAATTGCTCTGACGTCTGCATTTTTCTGACTTGACTGAACAAGATTTTCCTATAGACGAGTCGAGAAAACTTCGGCTATGAAGCAATATAATGAAACATTGTTGCAAAAGGAACATTGAAAAGGAGGCGGCAGCCATCAGATATGATGCTACAGAATAACGAATGATATATAAGTAAATATTTGAGTAAATCCGGATTATCACGGAGTGCACAGTTTACATATCTATAATCACTGATAAGATACATTATGTGCAGGGGCGTTTGCATACAGATAGTGATGGGTCTGGAATAGAAAGAAGGATGAAAATAAAAGCAAAGAGGGTTTTAAAAAAAAATTTAATGTTTATTCATTTTTGAGACAGAGAGAGAGAGACAGAGTGCAAGTGGGGGAGGGCGCAGAGAGAGAGGGAGACACAGATTCTGAAGCAGGCTCCAGGCTCTGAGCCGTCAGCACAGAGCCTAACGTGGGGCTCGAACCCACAAACTGCGAGATCATGACCTGAGCCAAAGCTGACGCTTAACCAGCTGAGCTACCCAGGTGCCCCAACAAAGAGAGGTCTTAAAAATATATTTACCCAAATCTTCCTAGTGATAATCTCTGGGCACTACATTATAATTGGCTTTCTGGTTTTGCTTGTCACTATCTCCCAGATGTTCTCAAACGAATCTGCTTCGCTTTTATAATAAAAAGAAAAAGCGGTTGTTTTTGCTTTTCTTAACTTTTGGGAGTTTTAGGGGGCCAAGCAGCCTTCAGACGCTTCAAGTGATGATCTGAATTTGATTCGATGAGACAAGGGCTAGTGAACTTAAGTGGCCACAAATTCGAGAGAGCCTCTGTTTATGACCTCGAACCATTTGCAGTGCAGGAACGAGTCACGAATTTTTATTTGCAGCTTTAGAAACACCAGGAGCAAAATATAAAGACAGCGCGAACCTGGAAGTAGGTGGTGTGCCACAGAAACTAATTTTCCACGGAGGTTTGCTTAGGCGTTTCATATCTTCAGAGACTCCCATTCACTGCCAAGTGTGACCCCAAACAATGAAGCCATTCAGCAGGGAGGAAGGATCTTCGATGCCGTGAATGCTGCCACCTGTACTTTGAGCCTCCTTGACTAAATCAACACTGGAAAGCTCATTGCTCCTCTGCTTCTGTTTCAGTAATGGAAAGGCTTTACACAGAATGGACTCACCTCAATTCGATGACAATGCCCGTGACATTCAAGTGATTCCTCTTTTACATGCAGCGCCGAGCCAAGTGTCTGCTTCATCTCCCGATTCACATGACAAAGCAGAAAAGGCTGGGAAGCCCTGGACACGCTGAGCCAATGGCACCTTTGCTGCTGGATGCGATGTCGCTCCCAAAATTAACCCCCGGAAATCTCAGCAAAAGCACGTCCTGCCCTTTGGAAGCCTCCGGTTTTGACAAGTTACTCTTTCCATTTATGAGGTGCCATGATTACGACTCACGTGATAGGTGGCTACAAAATAAGGACACTGGCCTGAAGGCATGCTGCTGCTTTTTAAACTAAAAGAAACACATGGTGGAGGGGTGAAAACAATACTTCTGACCTGGAATATACAGCGACGGAGCCCAAGTAGTCAGAGAAAAGATCTTGAAGGTATAAAATACAACTGGTTATCTCAGTTTCTGGCTGCATTAGACGTGTTCTGAGCTCTAGATTTTCTTCCAGGTGGTCCTGCCTGGATCCTAAGGCCGGGAAGGAGGCAGGGGTTCAAGATACACGCTTGATCCATAAATAAATACAGTGATGGGGCGCCTGGGTGGCTGTCGGTTAAGTGTCCGACTTCAGCTCAGGTCACGATCTCGCGGTCCGTGAGTTCGAGCCCCGCGTCAGGCTCTGGGCTGACGGCTCAGAGCCTGGAGCCTGTTTCCGATTCTGTGTCTCCCCCTCTCTCTGCCCCTCCCTCGTTCATGCTCTGTCTCTCTGTCTCAAAAATAAATAAACATTTAAAAATAAAATTAAATAAATAAATAAATAAATAAATAAATAAATAAATACAGTGCATTGGGTTGTACATCTCCGGAAAGTGAACTTTCCGGGAGGACGAAGGTCTTAACGCTATGGAAGGGTCAACTACACAAAGACTATTGTCAACTCAGCACTTACTAGCCCCTTTGAAGGTCTCTCGACTTAAGCATCACTTGAGAAAAGCATTTCCCAGAATCCCCTTCCCCAGATGGTGCTGAGTTAGAGTTTCCCAAGGAAGGACAATCATTGGAAGAGAGATTTGGAAGCCCATTATTTTCTGAGGGCAGATGAATCAGGACAGAAGGTCAGACAGGAGGCTCCCAGAAGCTTCCCAGAGGACTCTTTTGAACCCCCCATTTTGATATGCCAGGCTAAAACCATTGACTGTGGATTACCGCCAACTTCAGTTCCCTATGTCTTCCAATATCTAAATAAATCTCTAAATCCTAAAATTTAGAATTTTACTAAATAATACTACTAAATACTAATAATACTAAAATTATTTGTACCCAGAGCACAGAGGGCTTTTTAGGCAGTGACG